TTGCAAGTAAGGGAACAGCTACCTGTCAATCGCTATGCTTTCCCAGAACTCGCATGCAACTTCACTTCAAGATCAAGATGAACTCAAAGCAATGATGATGATCCCGCATGCTTTTCAACCCCTATTCCTTCAGACCGAGAAGTTTATGCTCCAGCAGCCTCCTGGTTCCCTAGCTCTGCCGCTCCCACGGACCAGTATCCATTTCTCTAGTCGCCGGGCAAAAGGTCAATAGTACTGAAAGTCTGAAAGATGCTCTGGATTCTCACGGGTCAACCCCACATCATGTGACGATGGAGGTGTTCTTGTGACTTTCTCCCTGGTGGAGTTTCGCCACCGAGCTGTATCGATTACCGTACCGTCGAGGTATCTTACACGTTACACAGATCTCGGACCGAGTAATTGGGTACTGCATACAGGTCAACTTTCGCACCCCACGTCAAAAGAAACGAGCGGCATATAGAGTCATGGTTATGATCACGGCACGGTCAGGAAGGAAGAGTTGAATTTCATGATCGTGATTGTGTTGAAACTTGACTTTCCGTGAGTGAGAAGTAAAAACATCAGGTGGTGCCTGCGAGTGATGCTGGCGTTTCCTGACTTGTTCTCTGTCAAATAATGTTCAATGTTTTCAAAGACTCTCGGTGGGGTGTCTCTATGGAATATGGAATACCACATCTATCCATCCGAAGACCTCGGATACTGAAGAATAAATCCTTAGTACTACTAGTAGAGACTTACTTTTCCTTCACTAGTCTGGGAGATCCCCCGTAGGTGCCGTATCTAGTCGCTTACTGTCCGGGGTTTTCTGGGTCATCAACTCCGTCCCCAATACACATCATCGATCATTTATCCCCAACCTAATTACTTAATCATATCCATTTAAAGGCCAGTATTTTTCCAGATCATGAGGTAGAGGGCGGCGCCGTACAAACCTCGTCCAGAGGCTGACTCGATAGGGTAAAAATGCGGAGAGTATGGAGAAAGATAACCATGCGAACCATGCGACGATGAAAACCCAGACTTGTGGAGGAGTCGCAAGACTGATCATCCAGTCGTTCTAGAGCTTCCCTGAGGGTTAACCTATCTATCTGCTGCTGCTAAGTCGATCTTCCTGGTCGGCTCTGCAGTACGCCTGACATGCACCCCGGACTTACAATAAAGTGGCAGCTAGCTACGTGGCTCCGCTCTTCGTTGCCACTGTGGAACTGGATGTCTGCACGAAATAACTATGGGCAGCTGAACTGTCGTGAAGAATGGAGACCGGCTGATTTCGCCTCCCATCTCCCACGGCTCTCAAAGCGAGTTTCACTTTGAGTTTTGTGGAGATTGTTGCCTGTCTTTGGAGTGAGCCTTTCGTGCTGTGATGACTTGCGTCCGCGTTGAAGATTGTATGCATGGGATTGCGGAGTATATTCGCATGTAATGAAAGCTGGTAATAGCTACTTTACTGTCCGATTCGTTAGGTAGTTGACATCATGGGTCTTTATCAAGTCTTGCTTCGACGACTGCTGCTATTGGTCGTGAGTTGGATTCATCAGGACAATCTGCCTGGAGTACTTCGTTGATCGAGTAGATTCCCTGTGACTCGGTCTCTGCAGATGTCTTCTGCCTCGATCAATCATAGCAGCTTATATTGCCGTCTCCTCAACAAGGCTACGCTGTTGGTCAAACACTGTGTGAGGCTTAGAGCTCGCGCGGGTCGTGTCTACCACTTACTGTTCATAGATACCTTGTTTGTGCCCTTCATAGCAGACAGTGTGAAGCGACTTGAAAAAAGAGCGAGTCGCGTCAATCGCGCGTTATATCATGTGGCTGATGCTTATCTCCACACTGAAAAAAAGGCGAGAGGCGAAATTTGACAACTCAGCTATCAGCTGCTCTGGCGATCTGGGCCTCATTATAGGACATCACATGATTGCTGAAACGTGCGCCTGTGTTACTGCTGCACAGTAGTGCTGCTGCCTGTGGAGCGTTGGCAGGGCACTGATCGAGGGAAACATCTATCGGTCGTGGGGAACCTGAATCATTAATATCTGGACAGGGCGATATGGGCTGGTGTCGGTAGATCATTCGATACTCTGAAGCTTCTACAGTCTACATAACCTCCAAAAGCTATCCAATTATGGAATGAGGTGAGACGATTGGACGGGTTTGACAGATCAACGGCCATTTATCGGGGCCCAGGATCGAAAAGCATGATCACGGTTTTGATGCTCGTCAACAACGATTTGGGACATCTGGTACCTTGTGACTCGTGATGAACAGAGAAGGACGATGCTGTGACACTCACTGGCTTGATCCTTCTGGTCCTGGGTACGGAGTGGACGGAATGGACACAGCTTGGATTTGCTCTGGGATGGGCGATTCGAACAACATCATCCATGCCGTGCTTACAACATCCAAAGTAAAATTACGGAACGAGATGCCTATTGCCGCGAAGATCAAGTGTGTTGATGTGATAGCAATCACCATAATACTGTTTTAGCAGGGGATCCCTTGGTGGATGGCGGCTATCTAGCCTCAATCTCCAGCATGAAAGAAGCCTGGAGATCGTCGTTGGTAGCACGGAATACCGAAGCCTCTAAGATGTTTGATTGCTTTCAGACATATCAACACCTCAAACATCGATAAGAGCCAACTAGGAGGATCAACCCGATCGGAACCTCCTCTTGACTTCCCCGGTATGCAGCTACTTTCGTTTGGGGCAGAATGCGGATTAGATTCACATTCCACCGGCTAATAACAGGGAGGGAGATCGACTTCAGCCATGATCATCAAGCCAGCAATGGGAACACTCTACAGAGTTGTATAGTAATACCCCCTATGAACTTACGGACGGAAAAAATCCACCAGACATCTGGGGAATATGGGGAAGACACTAGAGAGATTGAGAACTACCAGCTATAAACTAGATATCCCGTAACTGCACTGCCGAAATAGTCAAGGAGATGACTGCTGGAGGTCATCTCGACAAGCACAAAGCCTGCTGGGGCACGGCTTGGTTGCTGGCTCAGAAGAGCAAATTCCGTGACAAAAGCAGTTTAAGCATCGATCACCAGGGACTGCAAGCGAGACTGCTATGGCCCCTGAGAAGGGATGTGGCGTGTCAATAACCACCAATGTCTAGTCTGGTCCGAAGTACGGAGGAGAATCACATTTGAAACAGACTCTTGAAAGAGGACAGTGATGGAAGGCAACCCCTCTGTATCTGAATTTCTAGCTAGATATCCCCTTCAAGGTCAAGATGGGGGTGGATATGCCTGACTAGAATTGAGGCTTGTTTCCATGACTGAAGATGTGGAGTCACGGAGTGATATCAACCTAGTTATCAAATATCAACAGCAATCATCCGTCCGGTTGGACCAGCGCTTATCGATATGGACCCATCTGGAGAGTCAAGTGACTGTGTTGGAAAAAATGCCTTGTTCTTACTCAGCAGCAGAGCAGGTCACAGGACAAGAAGATCCTTTATTCAACTGTTTGTCTCTCTCTCATAACTATGTACCCTCTGTGGCATGGTACCTTGATGGTCTGGACTGGTAACTGACTGCTGTTTTTCCCTTGATATTTTTAGCTCTCTTCGATGTATCATCAGTAATATCCAGTTTCTCCAGTCCAATGTCACTCCAGATGGAACTAGACCTTTGACAATGGGCCTATTTCTCTAGAATGGAATCGAGGCCAGCGAAGCAGCCAGCAAAGACGGACAGTAATAATAATGACTATCTAAAAGAGAAAAGGAAAAATGGAAGGGTATCATACAGGATCTGATCATGTGTCAATCAAGTACTGTTACCTGTCTGAATGCAGTTTCACCGGGGTCAGTGACAAACCCTTTCCCATTTAGCTTGCAAAGGAGCTAATAGTACGTAAGCCGATCGTCTAAAGTATTCCTCTGCCATAAAAGTTCCGTACTTTTCCTTTTTTTTTTTTTTTTCTTCTTGGTGTGGAACTCCGGAAACAGACCGGTAATATTACCCGTGTTTATGACGTGGTATGAAATACCAGACGACCCACGGGGATACTCCGGAAGTGACACACAGCAATAGGGAAAAATGATCAAAAAATAAAATAAAATAAATAAAAAAAAAAGGAAAATAAGAAAGAAAAAAAATACTTAGGCTATGATCCGTTATTACTCTAGGTACTTACTTACCACTTACCGCCCCATCCCCCATCGCCGGTCACCGTAGTTCGACCTGTCCCTCGGTACTCTCCTCGGCCTTTTCTCTGTGTGGCCACCCTCGATTTCCTTTTTGCTTCTGGTTCTCTTCTCCTTGTACCGTTACCATCTCATACATACACACACTCCCCCCCCATAAACGAACTATTTGCCCGTTTTCTCTTTCTTCATCCGCTCCTCCTCCTCCACCTTTTTCTCCCCCATACTCTGGTGCTACTTTTTTTACACCTCTCTTTTCCTCTCTTCTCCTCAGATTTCCTCTTGTTGTGGACGCCGCCTATCACCCTTCCTAAAGATCCCGCTATACCTCGGTACGATTGTGTCGATTATCCATATCACCTTTTTGCGACATCATCTGCCTATATCTACAAGAGACATCCGCTCGATTCTCTCTCCGCATACCTGGATATTTCTAAAGAAGGAAGGTAGCTGGAACACAGGATTGAAACAATCGTTTGGTCCATTCGTCATCTACGACTCGTCAACTTCACCTTTGGACTGTGGATCCGGCTTGTGTCTCGGTCTCGACTCGACTCAACTTGCCGGGATCTTCAACAGCTGTGTCCCTGCATAAGCATTCGACCGCAGCTCGGGCGCCACATCTAGTTAAATAAGTTCTCTTCAGCACGCCCTGCTGAACAGTTCACACGAGCCCAGGCCTCCTGTGATAGCTTCTGCCTAAGGGGAATCCTACTCTCATCTTTCTCGCGCCGTACGACCACGATCGGGGGAGACGGCGACCCCGAAACGACCTAAAAGAATCCTCTTTTGTCAAAAGGAATACGGATCACAATTCCGAAATTGTGGCATCGATAGAATGCCTTCGCGTTTATCAACTCCTGTCCTGACCGTGGACGCTGCGAAAATTCACAAGGTTGATACGGCTAATGCACAGAGTCTCCATGGCATGTGGATGGGTATGTTACTATCTCTGCGTACAGATTTGCTGCGAGCGATGGCTGATTTTTCCTGATTCATTTTGAATAGTATTTTCCAAATGTGCCGATTACATGGAAGAAGGTCGTCGGTTGGAGAATTTGAGTTGGAGACTTTGGACACGTGAGACATTTTGTGTGGAACCCGATAACTCCAGCAATACATCTGTTTTGCCACTCCTTCGATCAGAGGCTGGTGACTTGCCAGAACTCTCCGCCAGTGTTGAATCTGCGGCATCAGAACAGGCTGAAAGGATTGAAACTCATCTTCAGCGTGCTAAATGTGAATTGAAGCCTACCGTTGTCCGCGAAGACTCGTTCTCCCAGTTAGGTCGTGGGAAGGAGAAGCACATTACGTCACTCGGCTTGGAGCGGATGGTGCTTAGCATTAAAGAAAAGAAAGATCTCGAGCCTCTTGCTTCAGCAATGACCACAGTCGCCCCTCCAGTGGTTGACATCGCATCGCGACCAGCAACGCCAACACCCACTCCTCCATCCGAACATACTGTTACCCGCATTCCATCGTTTCCATCTTTCAATCAACAGGCTTTGCAGTCTACGGAGTCGTGCTCGACGACTGCGCCCGAAGGTAACGAGAGCGATAGTGAGAACATCAATGCTTCCGACACCAGCGTTTCTTCCTCTGGCATGCTTGCCTCTCGGCCCGGTCTTGTTAAATCGCCGAGTATTGTGCGTGGGTTTTCTCCTTCGCTCATTTCCTCTTCATATCGGTCGCAGCCTAAGCTGTCAGCCGACCCTGAACCGGCACAGCCACCAGCCCAGCTGAAACCAACGCCGTTCAAGCGGAAGGGTGGCATGTTCACCCTTGGTGGTTCTTCTGGTGACGATGATGAGAGTTCGTTTGAGGATCGGATATCGATACAGAAGCCGCATCGCAGTTCTCTCTCTAATGAATTAGGGAAATCGGCCACCAGCAACCCCAGTCCTTCAAGGAAGGTGACTTCATTCAAGGATCAAGTCAAGATCATTAAGCCGATCAGCGAGCGATCATACGAAAATGATGAAGATGCCATCGAGACTGAGGACGAGGTTTCTGAGAGTGCGATTGAGGATGATGAGGATTCCGACTGGGAAGACTCTGTGACTGAGAGTGGAAGGTCCAGTGTCGAAGAAAGGGAACTCTTCCAGCGGGTTGACTCCCGACCGAACCTGGTCTCGCGTCCCTCCCTTCTTACAATGATGATGCACCAGCCTGCCAAGATGCAGGGGCCTACGTCTCGGTCCAGTCCAGCCCTCCAGCGTTCGCGCTTAACATCACCTAATGGGCCATCCATACCCGCTTCGCCGCCCGAAGATGATGAGGAGAGTCTAACAATGCGTGGTCCGGACGTTCCGCGCTCTAAGCCGATAATTGTGAAGCCCACATCGCACTCGGTCGCTCACTCGCCTCGGACTACTCGCAGAAACATGCTTGCTACCGAATTAACAGAATCACTCCGGCGCCACTTGCTTTGGGAACGACAGCAGAAGAGTGCGACCGCAAATGCGTTCTTGAAGCGCCGGCATACAACTCATGACATGGCGAATCTTCAGGAGTATCCTGAGCCAAAGGGGCCTCAAAAGGGAAAAACACCTCAGCAAACCGTTCCCCCTTCCACAAATCGCAATCCTGCAAGTTCAGCCATTGACAAAGATGTCGCGAAGAATGGTTCATGGAACCATTATACAGACTTTGGACCGTGGGAATACCACGTCAAGGGATGGTAGAGGCAGTCTACCGACCCAACCCTCCTGTCAACTTTCTGACATTTCTCTTTATCCATTTTGTTCTTTTCATCCAAGTCATTGACAGATACCCGTCTTTCTGAAGGGTGATGTTTTTCGACCAGTGATACCCGATTTCTTGATGCACCCTTTTCTCCTTCCCCCTCCCTTTTTTTTTTCTTCCTCTTCAATCATGTCAAGACTATCGTCTCAACATGCCTGTGACACGTACGATCACGACTGCATTGCATATCGGCGCACTTGGGATCCATATTGTTGTTTATCTTGCGACTTATGCCGGTTTTCCTTTTCGGGCTTCCCGGTCTCCATCAACCGATACATGGCATCGAGTGGCTGTCTGATCATGTTTTATTAAACGAGCGAACGAGCCGCACGGGGGACACTTCTACACAATTAATCCTGTACAGATGATATCCTACATTCGGCGGTGAACAGCTGCGAAGGTGTTTTTGGAACCAGGCGGTCTTTTGTTTGTTTGATTTTTTTTTTCTCTATCTCTCTATGAATCGATTCTTCTGAATGGATTTACCAAAAATCATCATCGGTGCAAGCGACAGCTTCATGTCGAGGCTGCTAGAAACATTTTCTCGTGGTCTCACATTGGCATCTGTTCTCTGTTCTGTTCTGAATTTTTTTGATACCAAATACTATTTCGCAATTGTGATATGTTTGGACTCATTGTTGGTTGGATTGTGATCTGGTCCAATTTGCAGCATCATCTCATCATACCATGTATGCATATTCTGAGAGTATATCTAAAAAGGAGCGTTTATCACAATAGAGCCTATTATTTAGTGGATGACCATCTGTTTTTGTTGCCTTAACATAACCCCCATATCTACAATGTATGTACATACAAGGTGGAGTGACGCACAGACTTATCGGCCTCACATCATTTGAGCGAAGCAGGGATATATGTGCTCATCGTCTCACAGAATCCGACCATACGTACTCCATGTAGATATCAAGTCGTGTCTCTCTGGGCGCATATTGCGATGTTAATCTATCGAGATTAAAATCCCACTGCCAGACGGGCGGACCCCAACGTGCATTTGTTTGGGTCCAAGATCTAGAATCAGAATCACCGCACTGTTCGCTTCCCATGAATGGGTTTGCGTCTTCTCGCTGTTCGAGCTTCAGGAATCTTGCTTTTCTGAGTTCTGGCCCTTGCGATTCGAGCTTTGGGTTTGTTTCCCCCCCCCCTCCCTTATCTTGACCGTTAAACTAAACCTGGGGTGGCCATGTTGAGACTCGACACACCTCATGGATCCTGCTAAATACATGGAGCAGACCGCTCTCCTCGCTTTCTATATCCACCACGGTCAAGCGAGATAGATACCCACCAGAGCAGGAGCTATGACTTCTATTCTATGACTTGGAGCTTGGGTGATATCATGGACTGATGAACCACGAAGCGACTAAGGATTTGCTTCCTCCTCTCCTTCTCAGCTCTCATTCTCTCTAGGTACAACCTCTAGACGGAGCATATGATGCCCCTGCCACATCACATTGACGATTAACATTGAGGCGACACTTTACCACAAAAGGTAATATCCGATCCATGAGATGGGAATGACAGAACGAGTAGTAACTAGGTACAATGGCCTTGCGCCCGTCCGCGGATCGAATCGAATCGAGCTAGACTTCCTCGCAAACCGGTGGTTTTTTTTTTTTTTTTTTTCTCTCTCTCTCTCTTTCTCCACCCTTGGGGTTTTTTTGTTTTGTGTCTGCTGCTGTTTGGGGGGATAAGCTTTGAAGGGGAGATGACTTGGAATTATTAGTGTTACAAGGGTATTTTCATTGTTGGTTGTCTGATACTCTGTAGATGGAAGTGCTTTTGTCTGTGTGGTTTGTATTGATGATTGTGCTGTATATTAAGACTATTGGTGTAGATGTACACAGTGGGCGACTGATAATCCATGATTGAAACCTGGTATTCATGGGAAACAGGCATAGGAACAGGATATATGCTCAGATCTTTTAAATGTGGTGAATCTTGGATAGCTTTATTGCATGGAAGTCTCCATGATGTAATGGTGAACACTCAGCCTTAACAGACAAACCTCATCAGTTATCAATCGTTGCAGAGAGCACACACTCTCTCTTTGACTTACTCTACTATCACTAGTCAACTAGACTACTAGATAATAGGTACTAGGTACTATACTAGGAGAGTAGTCGAGCTGTCATGGACTCGACTCACTCGAGGTCTTAATCATACGGAGTAGACTCTGTCTGCCATGCCATCCCACACTGGCCCCATCAGCTCCACAATCATACAAATACATACAGAATGCCAGGCGGACTTGTAAAGTCGAATGATCGCACACTCTGCCTCAAGTTCTCAACCAACACAGCCCGGTACTCCATCCAGTAAGCAATATAATATCGCGTACCTGATCTCTAGCCATGAAGGTCGATAGAATGCAGACCCCGTAACCAGATAGATTGCCCTGCCTGTGGAGAAAAAACGCAAAAAAAAAAGAGCTCCTGAACTTCCCGACTTCCCCAGTGCAACATCCCACCGTTCGAACAAACAGGCAAGCGCGGCTCCCGACGGCACCCTCGAACGTGGAGCGTGGAGCTGAGGCTGCTGATGCGGCTTTCTGTGGCTGGTGTCTTCACTCGGGGGCGACTGGCGAGGGTGGATCGTACCTTAACCTATCCTCATTTTCTCATTCCTTGCAGGCTCAGAGGCTAAGGCTGAGGCTGATCCAGTGGTCTGGGTTTGGTTCTTGAGGTCTTTGGTAGGGTAAGTAACTGAGTACTGACTACTGATTACTGAGTAGCGGGTACTAGGTACTCTGCCGATGAACGGTCCAACCTCTAAGGATCTAGGATAGTGGAAGACCGGTCGGTACGTGAGGCCTTTCCCGAAAGGAGTTTACACGCTGCCCTTGTAGAAGAAAGGCCGAGTCCTTGATTTGTGATTCTGTACTTGATGGTGGGTCGGTGTGGATCAGAACAGGGTGTCGCGTAAACTTCACCGGTATTTGAATTGTTATACAGTGACAGTGTATGTGCAGTACGGAGGGGATTTGATCAATGAGGTTATTCAGATAGCATCTAAGCCCTCATGCAGCCGCCTTCTCGCCTAGCTCTCACATCATCATGGAAGGGCGCTATCTTCGGCTTTCCCCTGTTGAAAACCTCTTTTGCTGTGTCTAAGGTCTTTGAATATCAATATCACTTTTAGTTATGGAGACCTGCTAAGCATGTCATGAACATTTAATAATTATATCACTGTCATTCCTTGGGAAACCGCATGTATTCTCCTCTCCAAGTAGTTAAGCACCCGGTTTGGTATCAATCCCTTCAACGGTTAGGGACGGAAAGAATCAAGGGACTGGAGGCTTGGAGTTAAAGCTCATGATCAGTGCACGAGCTGTGATTTCTGCGCCCTACGGAGTACCGAGATTCTGATTGATACAGCCTGGGTACGGACCAGGTACGGAGCAGTGTACGCCGGTTCTTTAATTCTAACGACAAGGATCGCTTGCTCATTGGTGATTGGAGAGCACCCAGCATGGGTGGACACTTGGACACTCGGCAAGCCGATGGATATTAGAACTTGGGAGTCGGCGGAGATCTGGGCCTGAACTTCTTGACTTCATACATACGGAGTACAAGATTTCGATATCCCATCAGATCTTAGTCTCTTGGTACTTGGTAGTGAAAGAGAGCATCCAACAGGTTTTCCGTCGAGTTCCAGGGTTATCCTGATATCGATACTCTACCCACGAGGATGTGTTCACATCAGGCTATCTTCCCGGCATCTTAACGCAGCAGATAATTCCCCAGGTCCTAATATTCACAAGGCGCGACAACCTGTTCAACCTTCACCCCTGGACTCTAATCCGCCACCATCGCATGGACTCCTTCTCAAAAATCCCCAAAAATCCCTAAAAAATGACTAGTCTGCTCATACCTGCCTTTGTCCCTTGATGCCTGACCGTCGGCTAGTCCGCTTTTTAGTTGGATGCTACCAGGATGTGGCGGCGAACAATCTCTACTCCATAGTTTCTACTCCGTATAACTATGCAGCAAAAAAATTCTTCGGTGGCTCGGGACCATCGTTTGACGCATTTCCCGATCGAGTCGGGATCATGGCCGTGCCGACGGAGTACCTTACTTTGGATTTTGGCCCGGTCGGCATAGCCCACCGTCCGACTAACTAACGACCGAAAAAACACACCACTTGTTGCATGGTTGATTTAGATGTCATGAGACAACCCAAGTAAAGCCGCAAGTAGGGTTTTTTTCTTTTTCACGTGTGGGTATTGGGCAGCAGCATGAACTCTAGATGAGACTTGTGGATTTTCGCCTCAGTCATGTTGCAACTTGCAATGGCCACTCGATACTAGATATTAATGAGACATTAGAGGCGACAAAAGGATAAATCTTAGAATTTGGGAATCATCTTGATAGGGAGCCAAGGAGAAACAACTCTGTAACCCCCGGTACTTATATCCGTTACTACTTACTAGTCCGGTCTACTATGGAGAAGTAAGCCAAAGTGGATTGTCAGGCATACGGATTACGGAGTATGTCAGTAAATTGGCGCTTGGTCCATGTTCGACTCGTCACGTGTTTCTCTTTGGTACCAAGAAATTCAAATCCAAGCCCCCGTTGCCTACACAGTAGTAGGTACTACTCAGCGCAAGCAGTCAAATTGGTAATAAATTGATCGCCGGGAAGAAAAAGAACGCTGGAATTATCGGCCAACCACAAGCCGTGGATTGTGCTACAAAGAACAGCTTTCTACCTACCTTAGGCTCTGGAAGTAGGCTTCGAGAAGGCTTCTAGAAGAGGGGCGCGGTATTATGGACGATGCTTAAACCGCTTTGATGATTGGTGGTCTAAACTCGGAGATTTCCTAGTGTATTGTACGGTAATGAGTGGTATCTGGTAGAAACGTTACCTTACCCTGTGTGCAGGACTAAAGGATGGTAACTTCATTAATTAACCCAGTCAAATTGATCCATGCTCAGTCGGTGGGTCTTTTCCGTAGCCTGGGAAAAAATGTACCTACCTGTGTAAAAGATAAAAGCTGTCAGAGAGAACGCGTTATAAGGACTCCAAGAAGTTCTTGATTATCTAGTGCGGTACCTGATTGTATTGGACGAAATGGAACTACCTAGGAAGGTAAGGTACCTATCATGTGCATCTGATGTCGATATGTTTGCTTCTTTTGCCTCCGTACTTCATTCGTATAAAGCGGGGAATATTCTTGCAAAGCTGAGAAGCTTACTCCATATATGAGTCGGATTACTCTACTCCTACACCACCAGCACTGCTAAACTCTACTTTGTACGGAATCCTCCGTGCAAATGAGAGATTTACCTCTCAGCATCTGAGGTATGAGATGTACGAAGTACAGACGTACCTACACCGATCTCTCCGGTGCTGATTCGCCCAGTAACTGCGATGAATACATGCTACCAATTATATTGATTGGCTGACCACTGAATTGAGGGGAAATCGGACAGGGTGGTGGTGATTTTTAGAGGACCTGGATTCCGTCGCGGACCCCCAAAGTATTTTTCGAGATTCCCGTGGACGGAGGAATAACGGAGAAACTCAGTTCCTCTGTTCCTCCAACGAGTCAGCAGGAGAAGATACACAGAGAGAGTCCCTAATAGTCATGGATGTCTTCATTATTATTGCCGCACACTGTATCTACTTGTAATCATGATCTTATCCCCAGGATGTCGTGTGCAGCCATATCGAAATCATAGTATCGTTTTTCCTTTGCAGGTCTGGTGACTTCGAGGGAACGGGGACGGTCGTACTAGGTATTTACTCCGTACCTTATATTTGGGAGAGCTCCTGATTATTTTCGTCTAGTGGATCGAGGTTGCATTGGAAGGGGAAAAAAAAAAAAATTGGAAACAGTCATTTTCAGAGGGGCGCGTGGGGAGGGGACGGGTCTAGATGGTTATGTACTGATCTGGCGGGGATGACACTTAGGTCAAATATCATTTCATCAAATTTTCCTCCTTGATGATGAATGTTTATTAGGGCCAGCATTGGTGTAGATGCTGTATAGAAATCAGATCCAGTAATGGAGATATCTTGCATTTATTTTCATTTATTTACATGATTCACATGGAAGAAATGGTTTCGTTGCTTGTCACGATAGTCCAATTATTTGCCTTTGATCTAGATCTCCAACTTCCGTGCGAAGATCCCGAATACTCTGCCCCTGCAAATAGCGTATGGTAATCTGGTAAGTATTGGTTAGGTTTGGTTTCCGTATTCAAGGATACAGTTACACTTACATACCTAAGTACGCTTTTGGTACTTCTAGACCAAAGCTGACCCTGGATCCAATGAAGAATACTACCCTTGTGGGATATCAGAATGGTGATAATAATTAGGTCCCGTGTCTATGTCGAGAAACTGGGGAATATGAGCACCAAGTAGGAATCTATTGCATGCGTGCATACTGAATACCCCCTGCCAGCAATCCATAGCGCATATGCGAGTCGGAGCTGCCGACTGCATGCAGTCTATGCTGATGTGCATAGAAAGGTGTAATTATGATAGCATCATCTTGGTAAATACCCTCCAGTTGGGGCTAATTGATGGAGAAAAGTGAACATCTCACAGCGCCACGGTGCATCGATTGAGATCCGACCGTTGAAAAAGTGAAGAATTCAAAGAGCTTGAAATCGGCCAACTGGCTTGCCTTGGTTGAGACGGACTACAGTATACGGGGATGAGACCGCTGTGAATCGAGCATCCATTGAAGGTCATCCCAACGCTCAAGGGCTTGTTTTATTCAGACACTCACCAGCAGAAGATCGAGCACAAGGCCAAGCAGCATCTTCAAGAATTGTACGAGCTTGGATCAGACTATGACTAATTATTGTGTAGTAACGCTTTTGCATGACTCCTTTAATTATTTCTGGGTGACTCAACATGAGTCTCGTCAGACATTCTCAGACTCATACTTCCCCACACACAGAGGATGAGGTCATCATCAATCGTTTGGCTAGATACTTCATGATCCCTGTGAGCTCATTAACTCTTGAAAAGAAGAGGCGGGTGACACATCCATAAAACCGAATCAATATCTTCTGTTCATCATCTCTCCGCCACTGGACACAGTGCATTGAGGCTTCGGTGTGTGTTGTCTTCCTGATAGTAACTTGAATCCAGCAACTATCTCACATCACGTGTCGGCTGACCGCCCGCGAAGGGGAACGATCATCAGTCAGCATCACAGCGACAACGACAACAAGGTCTCTCTATACCACGGTTGCTGCATTTTCTACTAAGCAGAGTCGTGTTCAAGATAAGAATAGGAAATTCGTATTTGGCCCTGACTATCTAGTGTTGGTAGACTGGTACCTCCTCACGCAAGAGCTGCATATTTCTAATCGTCTCCTGCGTCGTTCATCCTACTGTGCATTTGGTTGGCCACCGTTGATCCTACGGTCACCAGATCTCTGTGTTGGCAGGTTGATCACTGTGCTTCTGTCTGTGCCCCGAAAAGTTCTGGGATTGATAGATTGGCCGACAAGTCAGCATACTTCCTTGTCTTGAAGGTATCTTGTTGTTATTATCCTATATTGGCCTTTTTGGAATTACAGCCCCAAGGTAGCGTTCTCCCCCCCGGGGCGTGATATTATCTTGAGACTGCTTGATGTTGTACTGATACACATATTTGCAGAATGACCTCCACAACAGGCCATGGCGCGCCTGATGGCTCAACTAATCCTGAGATCTTGCCCAATGGTAAGTTGTCACCTCCCCAATCCTTCACAGAGTGCAGTGAGGCTGGACTGCCGACTGCATGAACCTCTCATACTTCGGGTTGTTCGCCCTGCAGTCATCTTCCTCCTCTTTGTTCTATTTCCTAGGCAGCAGGTCTAGCTCTAGGTCTTTGTGGGTCTATGCCTGTTGCGCATCTGCTCTCAAGCTGTCTTACCCCTAATTTCTACCTAAATCCATACGCGCAGATGGCGCTGCCATGACCCCCTTCTTCCCCTGATCCAGACATGGCGGCCCGCAACCTTTTTCAGTCACGCGCACATCACGGTACCCTAACTTTGACTAGGTCAAGCACCCGCGGCTGGTGCTGAGTTGGCAACGGCTCAACCTCCCACTTCTACAGCGTCAAACCGGTCAGATGCTAATCGTCGGCCAACTGCGAAGCGGAAGGCTAAATGCCGCTTTTTTACTTCCCAGAAGGGTAGGTCCATTCTGATCCTTATGCCCGTCATCGTATCAGAGTATCGTTTGCTGCCTCTGCCTCTGCACGGCTGTCATCCTGCACATTGCCTTGGTACATCCTCGGATGCTGAAGGATCGTCGGTGTCCGGGAATATCGGCACACCATTACTCATCTCTGCTACAGTTGCTTTGCTCCCGATAGAGATTGACAGTCCTTGCTTGCTTACTACTGACTATCTGTTTCCTCGATCTTTTTTGACTGACACAAACCCAGGATGCCGCGCGGGTGATGCTTGTCCTTATTTCCACGATGTGGCTGACCTTGAGCGGAAGACTGCGCAACAAGAAGTGCCAGTGCAAGCCAACCCAACCAATGGTGGTGTCAGAGCTCCCAAAGACTCCGTACGAGGTGTAACTACCGATGTCAGAAATCTATCAATCAATGAAACCAAGGCTGTATCTCAGACAGGAGTCAGCTCGAGCTCTACAGCTGGGCAGAGACCAATCTCAAAAGTTGAGAGCTCAAATCCGAGAGAATTTCAGATCAACCAGCTACGACGGCGATTTCATCCAAAAGAAACCACAGATAATTCAGGGTTGACGCTGACATTTGGATTGGCACCTTCTGATCCTGACTTCCCCTTCGAAATGGATAAACTACAATGCATACTGCATGTTCCGCTATCTTATCCCCATCAAGGAAGACCTACGCTTAAAGTGGTCAACCCAGATATGGAAAGAGCCTTCCAAGCGAACGTCGAAAGGGGATTCAATGATATTGTCGATAGCACTCTGAGAAGTGGCGGCCGAGGCAGCCTGTTGATTTGGATGAATACCCTCGATCGACATCTTGAACGCTTGCTTACCACGACTGAGAGAGGGCCCACGCTCAAATTCGTTCCTAACATTGGTAGCAAGCAAGTGCTAGAACATCAAGAGCCAAAGCAGGAACCACTCCCTCGTGCTGAGGTCTCCGCAACTGAGCGAAAAGTCATCCCTAAAACTCCGTCGGTGACTAAGCCTGTGAGGCGGCTCTATACCGCAGAGGAGAAGGCTCAAGCTGAGAGAAGAAGAGCGGCCGAGACAAAACAAATCGAGGCTCGATTGGGTAGACTACCCTTGTTCCAGAAGTCTCGAGACGAGTTGTTCTTTATTGTGCCTGTCCAGCCCCCTAAGGCGGATCGTCTGCCTGCACCCCTTCGGCCAATCAAGACGGTGAAACTTTTAGTTCCTCATCTGTATCCCCTGGAGCCCAGCTCTATTGAGCTTCAAGGTGTCACAAGCCCAGAAGCTAAGTCAGTTGAGATCGGATTCTCGCAATGGGTGAAAGAAAACTCGCAGCTGAACTTGACGTCACAAATCAACTACCTCTCGAGTAATATGCATAATTTTGCCATGACAACCTTCGAAGAAGTCCAGGACACAACCCAAACCCTTCCATCGCAGTCTGTCGACCTCCCTGAGGTAATATCGCCGTCTGGAGAAGCTGAGCCTGTCGTTGAGACAGACAAACCACACATTCGGGTCATACCAAGGCCACCGGAATGGAGTGTAGGGAACGACGGTGATGACAGCGAGTCCACGGATTTCACGACATCAGAGGATGATTACACAGATGAAGACGAAGACGATGAAGAAGGGGGAGCTCCAGTGCCAGATATGCCTGCTCCTACAACTGAGCGTGGCGTAGCCCTTTCCTTTCCATACCTGGAGCTGTACGGTATTGAAATTCTGGAGCTCGTGGGGTTGTATATCACGATCAAGTGTGACCGGTGCAAAGAGCACATGGATGTGAAGAACATCCCGCAAGCCAAGGATCAGGGTGACGCCTTGGACCCGAAAATCGAGACCTGCAAGAAATGCACTAACACGATGAGTCTTGGTAAGAGAGCCTATTCTTCCCCAATGTAGGTGCCAAGTCTTGGAGCTGATCATGATATCTCTACAGGGTTCCGAAGACAGTTGATGCATGCGAACTCTACTCGCGCTGGCTATTTGGATCTGGATGGGTGCACCGTTGTCGATCTTCTTCCAAGGTAAGATTTACTCATTGTGCCCGCATCTGCTTTCCTTGTAAAAGCAGCTTACACCCCTACAGTAGCTTCATCCCGACCTGTGCAGAATGCTCGACGACATTTCCCGGACCTGGCGTTGTTGCAGTTCGCGGCGAAAGTGCAATGGCCTCCTGTCGCCAATGTCATCGAAAAATGGGTGAGCATCGGAACCATATGACAATGAAAGTTTGTTTAATGATCTGGATCTAGTCTTCAAAATTCCCGAGGTGAAGTTTCTGATCGTAGGATCTGCTGCATGTGAGTTGTGACAAGTCAACTGTCCTCGGCAAACATGTGCTGATATAAGTCCTCTAGTCACCCTTCGTGACCGTGTCCCGAAGCGGAAGCAGGTATGTGAAGCAACCTGTCACTGTGATCAAAAAGCTTACTCTGAATGCCCTTAGCCTAGAGAAACCCTTGGCATTGTCGCTGGTCAAGAGCTTCCACGTCGCGGACGGTGTACGCATTATGGTAAAAGCTATCGGTGGTTTAGGTACTACACTCTCCGTCATACTACGCGTTTCGGCCCAGACATTGACTTTTCAACAGGTTTAGTTGTTGTGCAAAAGTTTTCCCGTGTGACAAGTACGTGTCCCAAGACAAGAACTCGAGAGTCGGCTACGCGCACTCTGATGAGTGGCCACTCGTGTAGCACATTGCTGATATACGTAGGTGCCATGATGCGGCCACCGATCATCCAAATGAGCATGCGAACCGCATGATATGGTCAGTTGATTGCCAACTATGTTCAAATTCTGTGCGCTTTCTTACATTTAATAGTGGCTTCTGTTCACGGGAACAAATCTACCGACCCGATAACTGCGGCATTTGCCGTGCGGTCCTCGTTGGCAAGGCGGGAAGTGGGTTCTGGGAAGGGGGCAAGGGCACAAGAAACAGGGCCTTGATGAGCCGAAAGGGTAAGTTTTCATTCTTTGGCCTGCGGGTTCTTACGTGTTAACAACGACTTCCTAGACCCGCGCAAGTACAAACGAATCGGCGGGTCGAAGGTAGGTAGCTCTTCAAAAAAGAAGTAAACCCGGCGACACCATCGCCCTGGGCATCTACCATACCAGCAGTATCAATCTTGTGGCGGAAATACTCTTCATTAAGTGTGGAATGGACTTCCAGCTACCTGATACAGGCTTTTTTGCTGTCGGCATATGATCCATAACCCACCTTCACCTGCTAGGGCTAGGCCATGTCAAGATATAGAGGTACGATCTCAGGATGTAGTCACTGCAATCCGGTCATCGCCAACCTCAGAGTGGTTTAAGCATTTCCGCCGGATGGTCAACTCAGAAAACACAAGTGGCTGAAGTCTCAAATAGGATCAGGAGGCCCCGAACAGTAGATATTATCATTCTGCATCTACATCTGACGACATATCACGTCAAGCCTGCACCATGATTGTTTCTTAAGACATACATTTAACTGCACAACTGTACAGATATGATATGCATTGTCCGACGGCCACTTTCCACATATCCTTCCATCTACACCAGGAAACCCATTAAACCATCCACCCCTAGCAGATACTAGAACTAAAGTCCTCTGTGTGGGATCATCGTCGTTTTCCTAAACCGACAGGTTATCCTACACGTACGTAAAGACCCAAGGCCGATACCTATGCACCAAGAACATCAAGCCAACCCGCCTGTAGGAATCTCGTAAATCATTCATCAATCCCAAACTATGTCCGCTGTCTGATCGACCAAGGGTATCATCTGGTGGAAGGATCATCAAATGAGAGCCTTACTAGGTGCGTGTTTGGCAAAAAAAGGGTTGGTTGGTTTGTTTGTCATTAATTAACGTCCAGCGGGGCTTCGGGCCCCTGAGAGGCTGAGACCTCCCGAAGGGGTATTGGGATGTGTAGAGCTATGGATATTTAAGTACATGCAAGTTCCACCGAGTGCATCCTAGTCTTTATTTCTAACAGAGTGAGTGCTTGGCGGCAAAAAAAAGGGTGAGAAGTAACTAGCAGCAGTGATTTGCTTCTCTCACCCATTACCCACCGCAGTTAGAACTACAAGGATTTTTTTTTTTTTTTTTTTTGGTATGCAATTCAAAAGTCAGCGTGAAGCTCTCTTTCAGGTAGCAATGAATCGAATTTTGGTCATTAGCAAACGCTATAGAAAATGCTTCCAATGTACACGATTGGTATTGAACAGAAATGCAAAAAAGGCAGCAAACCAAACAAGTCCCAAAGATGCCCACTCAAGAATAACTTTTCTTACACCAGGTTTCCACGCAGAGCCTGCTCGCGCTCGATGGCCTCGAAAAGTGACTTGAAGTTGCCAGCGCCGAAGCCGGAGAAGTTGTGTCGTTGGATGATCTCGATGAAGACGGTTGGACGGTCCATCAGATGCTGTGAGGACGGTTAGTATATGAGCTCTTGGATTTGGGGGCTGCCTGATAGGGACATACCTTGGTAAACAGCTGCAGGAGGTAGCCACCCTCGTCGAAGTCGATGAGGATGTCCAGGCTGCGGATCGTCTCGAAGTCCTCGTGCAGAGTCAGGCCGGCTTTCTTGAGCCGCAGCTTCACGTCCTCGTAGTATGAATCTGGGACCTTGATGAACTCGACACCCCGGGCCTTGAGGTTGGTGATAGCCCGGATGATATCGTCGGTCAGAAGAGCGATGTGCTGGACGCCAGCGCCGTTGTAGAAGTCGACGTATTCTTCGATCTGGGACTGCTTCTTTCCCTTGGCGGGTTCGTTGATGGGCATCTTCACGACCTCGTTGGGGGAAGCCATCACGATACTCTTGAGAGCAGAGTATTCACTATGCTGAAGTCTTAGCATCTTGTGTATACCTCGTGAAGCGGGTTCCACTTACGTGCAAACTTGCGTGTCGTCGACAGACCAAAAACGGTGAAAACCGAGGGCCTTTTCATAGCTTCAGACTGGTTAGCAATCGCACGTGAATTCAAAAGTATAGCGGACTTACTATTCGCAGATCTTGTCCATCTCGTCCCAGTCCTGGTTTCCGACGCAGTGATCGATCCGCTTCAGATGCACACCCGGCAGCAGCTGGGAAACAGGATCCTCAGGTCCGGTCTCAAGACGGTAGCCGGGCAGGAACGCACCGCGATACGAGCCCCTCTCCAGCAGAGTGTGTGTTGTCTCACCGTATGTCTGGATGGTAGCAACCCGGACAGAACCGTCGGCATCCTCCAGCGTCTGAGGATGAGACACAACCTTAGCCCCGTTCTTCACTGCAGCGTCAAAAACGGCGTCCACCGAGTCGACCTCAAAAGCGACATCTTTGACGGCATCACCGTGCTTCTCGAGATGAGCGTGAATCTCCTTCAGCAGCTCCTGCTCCTCCGCCGGGAACCGGTCGATCTGGTTCAGTGACCGCAGAGGCGAGGTCAGGATGAAAGTGATGTCGCCGTTGCGGACAACGTGGGAGCAGATGCTGCGGGAGCCTGTCTCTAGACCACGGTAGGCGACGCGCTTGAAGCCCATGCGGGTGATGTAGTATGAAGCAGCCTGCTTTGCGTTGCCCACGTACCAGTGGACATTGTCGTAGCCTCTGTAGCTGGCGAAGCTTGAGGGAACCCGGTCGGCGGGTGCTGGAGAAACAGCCGAAGGAGCCATTTCGTTTCAATCCGAGGGGAATGTAGACGTGATTGCGGTTTATTCAAGCGAGAACTTAGCCTGCGCTATAAGTGTTATTGAAAGTGGCGGTTGGATGCTTGTTCTGTCTGAGTCTCACTATGATCATGGCCGGATGGGCCACATCTCTTATAAGTCGAACCAAACATCCGGTGACGGGTTGTAAGCATGTCTCACACTTTGTGACAGCTTGAAACCTCCGTCGTTGGGTCATGATGGCATCGGCAGTGTATTCGAAACTCTGGGATCCTTCCACGATAGCCGTTATCAAACTGGCGACGGTTGTGGGCGGGTATTTGGAGCAATCGCCGGGGAGGGGCGGGTATTTGATCAAACATCCGGCGGTAATGACGATCAATCAAAGTGAAACTCCCGAGACTATCTTGGCGTGTGATCAGCAATTAGTTTGGTTATCATTGGCTTGATGAGCTCATAGCTGGGAAGATCGGTAGTTATAGTTATCAGCGTTATCTTTGATGCCATCGCGGTGTTCAACAGTACCTTGTCCAACTTCTCAGTTCTCCCAGCACCGCTGCCCTAAGGATCGAAAACACCTCAACGAAGAGAATACATACCAAAATGGCCATCGGCACTACCATCGACGCCAGTCGTCCTTCTCTTACCTCCAACGACTCTGCCGTCCTCCAAGCCCTCTTCGACGCAGAGTCCTCTCCATCCTCCGCCGTCGCCATCGACGCAGCCCTCTCCCCATTCCCTGAATACCTCCACATCTCAGCAGAGACTCACGAATCACTCAGAGAGTGCGAGCTGAGCATCATCCGCGCCCTCCAAGCCGAGGACGTCTCCCCAAGTACCATCGAATCCGCAATCAAGGGCCTCGACGCCCTCATCGTCGAGCATCCGACGTATCCCCCCGCCTACGTAAATCGAGCCCAGACAATCCGCCTGCTCATCGAAAAGACAGCACAGAGCACCGCGTCCACAGACGCAGATGACGCCATCTTCGCTCCCAACCACGTCGAATCCGCCTCGCGCCTCCTCTTCGACCTGGGGAAGGCGATCACGCTCTGCACGCCCAGGTCGCCTGCGGATCCCGTCTCGACGGTCCAGGCGAGGATCCTAGCGGACTCGCACACGCACCGTGGATATCTGATGCTCAAGGCGGCGAGGATAAAGAAGAATCTGAAAGAGGGGGAGGCGATGGGTGGGCCGGATAAGTTGCAGGAGTTGGGGCCTGATCAGCTCGAGGAGATGGCCAGTAGGGACTTTTTCTTCGGAGGAAGGTATGGTAATAAGGTCGCACAGCAGCTGGCTGTGCAGACGAATCCCTACGCGAAGATGTGTGGTGCGATTGTGAAGGAGGCGTTGAGGAAGGAGGTTGAGGGGTCCGTTTGATGGTGGGGTTGGTTTTTGTGTCGGCCCTTTTTGTATATACCATATTGTTCTATAAGGGCGCAGCGCGTCAAGACTAGAATTTCTCTTTAACAATAGTCGTATCTTTAAATGACTTTGGCATTTATTCTTCCAAAATACTATAGACTTATCTGGAAGCTTTCATAAAACAAAGATGTGAATGCCAGCCTACGAATACCTGTACTGAAGAAGCCTTACATCCTAGGGCTGTGGGTATTATCTTAAGTTATACGGCACCAATCTCAAGGGCACAGAGGTTTCTGGGGTAGAGCTGTAGGGAATATCTTGACTTATCGAGTAGTAGAAATTAATTAAAGCTTTATCGCAAGTCCAAGCAGCTGAACACGGGCTGAGACTCAAATGGTATATCGAAATCGAGCAAATGGTCAATGATACAAGAGCTGACGCCAACTATGCTATGCTAGGTTTATCCCAACTCATGCCTTGTTGAAATTCTTGAAGTGTCTCTTCAGTGGCTGCCAGCTGTGTTCATTGTACTTTTCCTGCACTTTCTGGCAGGTCTTGAGGCCCCATTCGGACACGCCAACCATGAGACAGCTAAAAAAAAAAGAGTTAGTAATTAAGTCATACACGGTAATTGCAATACTGCGTACCTCTCAAACATGAAAGCCATGCTACCATCGCCGACCTTTTGGGGTTTCAGCTCGGCATTGCTGGCGCCCTCAAAAGCGTCAGTATCGGGACCGTGAGCGCTCATCACATTGTGCAGACTGGCACCGGCCGGTTGGAAGCCACCGCCCGTCTTCGCATCGTAGCCGCCGCAAATCAAACCCATGAATTCGGACATGGTGTTGCGGTGAAACCAAGGAGGCCGGAAGGTACCCTCGGCCACCAGCCAGCGAGGTGGGAAGATCACAAAGTCGGCGATGGCGGTGCCAGCGTGATCCGAGGGTCCAGTCAGGACAGTGAAGATTGAGGGGTCAGGATGATCGAAGGAGATGGAGCCGATGACGTTGAAACGACCAAGATCGTACTTGTAGGGGTAGTAGTTGCCGTGCCAGGCGACGACGTCGAAGGGCGAGTGGTCCTGGCGCGCAGAGAAGAGCGTGTTGTTGAACTTGCTGTAAAGGCGATACTCTTCTTCCTCGTCCTCAAATGATGCTACTGGAGCTTGGAAATCGCGTGCGTTGGCCAGGCAGTTGGAGCCGATTGGGCCTAATTCAGGCAGCTGGTAGTGGCCCTGGTAGAGCTCGCAGATGTATCCTCTCACTGGGCCCGTTGGAAGAGTCACACGGTATCTGCATGTCACGTCAATCAGCTTTTTGACGTCATATGGGCGAAGAGAAAATACCTGATGCCGCGAGGGATCACACAAATCTCGTTGGGACGGACAATAAGCCGTCCCAGCTCGGTTTGGATGTCCAGCACACCATGCTGAGGGACAATCAGAAAGTCACCATCGGCCGAGTAGAAAGCCTCCTTCCCCATGTCCTCTCCAGCAGCATACAGGAGAATACCCAAGCCCTGTTTCAACGTTGGGTCACCCGATCCCGCGATAAGATGAAGGCCATGGACCCAATCGACGGTCTCATCCAGATCGAACGGGTCCCATCTCAACTGATTGGGGATATGGTGTAGCTTGTGTGTCTCGGTCGTCATACGGGTATGGTAGGAATCGGCATCCTCAGCCACGAAGTTCTCGTGTGCAGCGGCGGGGATGATTCTGTAGACCCAAGTCTGCTTGTTCTCGTGTCTGGGGGCAGTAAAAGCGGTTCCGGAGAGCTTCTCGGCGTATAGGCCATGAGGGGCCTTCTGAGGCGAGTTCTGCCCTACAGGGAGGGCTCCTTCAATAGCTTCCGTCCTATAACGTCGATTAGCTTGAGAAGTCTTCAAAGCTGATGATCTACTACAACACATACTCATGGTAGGAATCGAATCCAACCTGGTACGAATAAGGATCAGGATGCGAGAACTGGGTGACAGGCATGGTATGCAGTGCCCGTAGTACTATACTATACCTGACTCAAGCTGCTTATAGTGTAGTATAGTATAGTATAGTATAGTATAGTAGAGAAAGGGTGGACTGGTAGTGGTATAGAGTAGTATTACTATTATGAGGATCAGTCGAGGAGAGAGAGAGACTAGCTGCTCTTCTTATGAAGGGGGCAAACACTGTTGACAATAGATATCAAGAAGCCGTCAACCCTCCGGGGGGACGGGGGAGGGGGAAACTGCTCATCCGCAGCACTGATGAACTCATGCTGGATAAATCTGGATTTTGCGGGGAGAACTGCTGGACAGTGCGGAACTGGCAACGGAGGAGGACGAAAAACAGCAATAGCCGGTGATAAGCGGGTGATGGTGGTGGTGCAGGACCAAACTGCCGCGGGGCGGTTCCGCAGTGCGTGATCGAGCACAACGGAATCACCCATGGAAGAGAGATGGAGATCATGGGCGAGACGCCTGTGTTTTAAAACGATGGAGGAGGGGCAGAGAGAAGCGGCCGGATGTTTGGGTTCTTAAGCTCCCTTTCGTGTCGCTGAGTGGAAAGTCAACTTGAACGATTTCACCTTTTTTTGGTTTGATTGCTGTCCCGTCTCTTCTCCAGATTCCTCCTCACATCACGAACACAATGGCTTCGTGGCTTCAGATCCCCAAGAATTCGCCTTTCTCTCTGGCCAATATCCCATTTGGTATCATTTCCTCTGCAAAGGCCACATCTCGCGTTGCCGCAGTTGCGATCGGAGACTATGCGTTGAACCTCAGCGCGTTCGCCTCATCCGGAGGTTTCTCGCAGCTTTCCGTCATCCAGCCCCATCTTGGCGTGTTCAGCCAGCCTACCCTGAACGCATTCGCTGCTCTCGGTCGCCCAGTGCATCGCGAAGTCCGTGAATATATCCAGACTGTTTTCCGTGCCGACACACCGTTCCCCCAGCTCCTCAAAGACAACGAAACTCTGCAGAAGGAGGTTCTCGTGCCCTTGTCGGAGGTGACCAACCATGTACCCATGCAGATCGGCGACTACACGGACTTCTACGCGGGCCTCAACCATGCTTACAACATAGGTGTGCTCTTCCGTGGACCTGAAAATGCTCTGCAACCCAACTACAAGCATCTGCCTGTCGGCTACCATGGCCGTGCTTCCTCGGTGGTCGCTTCGGGCACCCCCATCCGCCGCCCCAACGGGCAGATCCTGGCCAACCCCGCCGCGAACCCCAAGGTGCCAACTTTCTCTCCCTGCAAGAAGCTGGACATTGAGCTGGAGCTGGCTGCTTTCGTCAGCACGACCAACGAGCTGGGCCACCCCGTGCCCATCGATGAGGCCGAGGACCACATCTTCGGCGTGGTGCTCATGAATGACTGGTCCGCCCGTGATATCCAGGCGTGGGAGTACGTTCCCCTGGGTCCTTTCAACGCGAAGAACTTTGGCACCACAATCACACCGTGGGTGGTCCTGCTGGACGCCTTGGAGCCGTTCCGCACGACTGGCCTGGAGCCCGGCAACCGCGAGGCCCTCCTGCCCTACCTGCGCGAGAAGCGCGAACAGAATGCCTTCGATATTCCCCTCGAGGTGGAGATCACCAATGCTGGCGGCCAGCCCACTGTGATCTCGCGCAGCAACGCGAAGAACCTGCTGTACTCTTTCCCCCAGATGCTAACCCACCACACCATCACGGGCTGCAACCTGAACACTGGTGATCTGCTGGGCAGTGGCACAATCTCCGGTAAGGAGTCACAGACCGAGGGTAGTCTGCTGGAGCAGACCAACGGAAAGAACCCCATCAAGCTGGCTGATGGCTCCGAGAGGCTGTTCTTGGAGGACGGTGACACGGTTATCCTGCGCGGTATGGCCGGCACCGAAGGCAACTACGTCGGCTTCGGCGACTGCGTAGGAACCATTCTTCCGCCTGTCAAGCTGGACTTTTAGTTGTTGTGTGTCTGATTGTTCCTGCCCTGTATCGGGCATGCCAAAGGAGGCTGATTTTTATTGGTACGAACTAGCTATGAGAATTTATTTGAAGATAGACTACCAGTCTCCATTTACAAGCCATCGGCATACTTCGCAATCAATGTAGTCAAACCCCAGCACATTTGATGCATACAAGCATCATCTCAACCCCGTCTAGAATCTTATCTACACCCAATCCCCGCCTTTCTCTCTCTCTCTCTCTCTCTCTCTCTCACTCACGACACCTCCATCCGAAACTCCTCCGGCGTATCAGGCTGCGTCCTCCAATGCGCCCTCTTCACCGCATCCTCCAGCTCCAGCCGCTGCGCAACGCGCCAAATCGTCGGAAACTCCTGCACCTTCACGCCCGCGCGCTCCGCACCCCACACCGCAGGAACAAGACACACATCGGCCATGGTGATGCTATCGCCGACGCTGAAGACTCCCGCCGTCCGCGCGGCAATGGCCTCATACGCGCGGAAGCCGTCCTCGATCAGCTCCTTCGACCACGCGGCCCTGTCGACGCCGAACGGCGCCACCCGCTTCAGGATCTTGAGGTTCGTGACGGGCTGGATGTCGCAGGACAGAATGTCTGTGAGGGTGCGGACGAGGGCGCGCGCCTCGGGATCGGACGCCGGTGGGAGCAGCGCGTGGCTGGACCCCAGGGTCGTTTCTTCGAGGTACTCGAGTGCGGCGAGGGACTGGGTGATGGTGGTGGGTGCTTTGGTTGGGTGTGTGATGATGAGGGTGGGCACTGTGGCGGAGGGGTTGAGGGTGCGGTTTTCTGGGGTCAGTTGCTCTCCATTGAGTAGGTTGACGGCGATGGAGGTGTAGGGGATGGATTTGAGGTTGAGGGCGATGCGGAGTCGGGCTGAGCAGGAGGAGCGGAAGTAGGTGTGGAGGGTGATTTTGGGGGTTGTTGAGTCGGCCATTTTTTTTATTTTGTGGTGGGGTTTCTCTGGGGACAGGAGAAGAGGGGAGTTGACTTGGGTTTCTTTGAAGGATTGAGAATTTGAGGCAAGTATGTCAGTGAGTGACTTGAGTGACTTTACTTGTATACTCGCTGATAGTTGACACTTGACAGGCGGGGCGGCGGAGGATAAGTACCGTGCGATAGTCTTCAGTGCGATGTTTTATGCATAAGGGTTACTTACATACACTACGAGACTGCCTATTCCTATTGCCAGAGAATAAAGGTCAGTTCCTCTACCAAGACATCCTCATTCGTCTCTTTCTCAAGTTTGGCGTACAGACGACGACACGACACAAGAACACAAGACGCAAAAATGCCCGCGGCGGAATTTCTTCCGCAACTGGAAATATCCGACCTTGAGCGCTCCGATTTCCGCTCTTTTCCGAGGTGATTTGACCTCTGGAGAACGCCAGCCCCAGAATCCTAATATGGACACTGGAGTATGGACAATGGAGTCATGGGCACTATAGCAATTAGTGAATTGGTGCTATAATTCTATAAATCTATAATAGTTCTAGCTAGTTCAAGCTCCGTGTTTATTTTGTGAAGATATACTCCGGAGCCATCGAAGCTCACGAGGCGCGCTCCATCAAAGTCAAAAGACCTCCACTATAATAATGTCTAGCCGTTTTCAAAAGACATTCTTGCATACGCCATACATGTATGATGTTCCTTCCAAAAGCATGTCAACTGTTAAGTAATGTAAGCATTGCTAATCAAGGGATTATGACGCGGCAATATATGCATGATGAAAATCAAGAACCCCCTTGCACCCTATTGCTGTGCTGTGCAACAGCAGGAACCTATACGGATAGATAGTAGAAAACCAACTCCCAAGTCACGCGCCCCTCTTTATCTTTCATTCTCCTTAAAAAGTGGATAAGTAGAATCGAATCCAACTATCCAAGACTTCATATCTGGTTCTAATGAGACCAATAACCCCCACAAGAAGAGAGCTACCTATGGAGGCCTGTGACACCCAACAAGTTTCGTTTGTGATCTTGACTGCCTACCGGATATTTTGTTCCTCCGCTGGGGCCCGGCAAGTGACGGGTATTTCGCAAACTCCCGCCCTGCTCTCCCTCTTGTTTTTTTTCCCCCTTCATCCCCTGGTGCAGATATCCCCAATATCCGGCGGACCCAATCCGGAAAATCTAACTCTTTAGAGCTTTCCGTCCATACATCTGGCGATATGATAATGACAACAATATAGGATGTTTCAACTGACATGATGTGATTGGCCAATTCACTATACCGGTACCTTGCAGTGCAATCGTAGGTAAGGTACGGAAGCAATGGAGACTCGGAGGCCATCCCGCAGCGGCAACAACTTCGACCGGACATATCAGCGGACTTACAAGGCATGCATCTCTTGTCGGCAAAGAAAGGCTAAATGTGATCTGGGGACTGGTCCGGATGGTCTGCCTCTAGGTCCTCCCTGTGCGAAGTGTCGTAGAGAACAGAAGCCGTGTGTGTTTGACGAGAAGAGGGCATGGGAGCGGTCGAAGAAGCGAGGTTTGTTCCCCGGCTATTTTCGATTGTCGATATATCTGGGGTATGAGAATATCAACTGACATTCGACGCAGGGCGGTCAGAAGATGATACTTCAACGCCATCACGGACACAACCTAGGTTGGCTACTGCTGCTGCTGCGCACGGCGATGCTGTTTCATATCAGCCGCCGGCACCTGCACAGGGACCTAGCCCTGTAAGCCACAACACCAGGCACGCAGATAGGGCTGGGAGCCCGCAACAATCATACGATCATGACAACCGGTCAAATAGAACGCAGTCCTCCTCCAACCTGGCCAACTCAATGATGCGGACGGTCGTTTCTAGCGGGAATGATGCTCTCAATATTCTCTTTGAGGCCGCCACCGCCCAAAGTCAGCCAGACAGCTTGAATGAATCAGACTCTCTACCTGACAATGGGCGGACCCTGGCAGGTCATGGTAGTACTCGCGATCATCTGATGAAGCAAGTGGACCTGGCGGTTTCTCCGGCGATCTTGGAGAAGGCCATGCGTCCGGTTGAGCTGTCTCAGGTGGTAAAGGAGGTGCTGAGTGTCTGGGAGGCGTGCAGATTCGTTAAGATGGGCTGGTTCACGGCTCGAGAGGCCGTGACGCTTATTGATCTGTATGTTCCTTGAGATGCTTCGTCAATGTCACTGCCGCTGACTACCTTCGTTCTAGCTTTTTCAAGAACATGTCGATTCTATCTCCAGTCCTGACGGACTTCTATGCCGATCACAAGAACCATCGTTGGCTCATCTCCCAGGACCCTGTCCTCTGTTGTACGATGTTAATGATATCGTCCCGGTACCATGTGCTGCCTGGGGCTGGTGGCCAGTCACGGAATTTCTTTATCCACCATAGGCTATGGCAGCACTGTCAGCAGCTGGTAACGAGACTCACCTTCGGGCAAGAAATCTCTTCGCAGCCGAAGATCCGCAACATCGGTACAATAGAAGCCCTGTTGCTCATGTCCGATTGGCACCCTCGTTCGCTCCACTTCCCTCCGGAGAGTGACGGTTGGGATTCCGACCTGGTTACAGTAGATCACGAGCCCCAAGAACAGGCTGACAGTAGCGATGTGTCCGAGAATAGATGGGCAAAAGATATGATCGAGCCTGCTAAGCGATCCGATCAAATGTCATGGATGCTTCTCGGATCAGCATTGTCGCTCGCGTATGAATTGGGCATCTACGAGACTGGAGATAAAGGGCGCAATACCTTTGCGGTATATGAACGCTTCATGACGCAGGACCAGATACGGCTGCGTAGGCAGCGGGTGCAGCGGCTGTTGTACGTATATATCAACCAGATGGCATGGCGCATAGGCTGTGTGTCCCTCATGCCACAGGGTCTGAGCCACTCGATCATCAATCGACAGACAGCAAGGGAGCTGAGTCAATCGGGAGAAGAATGGCTGACGTTCATGGACTCCTGGATGGACTTGACCAAACTCGCCAAGTCTGTCACGGACATGTTCTTCCCTTCTGTTTCGTTTGCGAGACAACAGCTACAAAGCGGCCGCTATATCGATTTGCTCGATCATTTTCGTCCACTTCTTGACAAATGGAAGGAACGATACCTACAGCCACAGCGTAAGTTTGCACGGTCTCTCTGCTTTGGATCCCTTCAGGGTTGCGAAGGAATTTACATTGACCTAATTTAGTGCATGACAAGCCGTTCTATGACGATATTTTCATCGAATATCACTTTGTCCGTGTCTATACCCACTCGGTAGGAATGCAGGCTGTAGTAGAGCGCGCCCTTGCAGACTGCAACGCCGAGGGAGAAGTTCGCTCCATGAACATCGACCCAATTGACCACGAGTATATTCAAGAAGTCATCGATGGCTGCTGCCGAATATTGGAAAAGGTCACTCAGCTTGCTGAAATTGGAGCACTGCGGTTCTCGCCGGTCCGGATATTCATCAAAATCACAAGTGCCTCCATATTTCTGATGAAAGCTCTCAGCCTGGGTACTCGCCAGGCAACGCTCCGCGAATCATTGGATATTCTTGAGCGGACGATTCAGGCATTGAGATCAAACGCCTTGGATGATATCCATTTAAGCACGCGATATGCTACCCTTTTAGAAACCCATGTATCACGGTTGCGCCGGAACCTGTTAGCCTCATCCAAAGCTATCAGAAAGCGGCATGCGTCTAGCACACGGCACTCCCTGGCGCCCCCATTTTACATAAATCACACCAGTGACGAAAATACCCCACTGGGAATGAATCCTCCCGTTCCCCAGAGTATATCAGAAATGGGGTTTACTCCATCCCTGAATGACATCGCTGCCGATGACTGGCTCTCGCTTCCATTTGACCCATCCATGGCGCCGTTTGGTATCAACAACAGCGGACAGCTTCCAGCCTACGAGTGTGGAGCTTTGGATTTTATCTGGAATTTGCCGTCATGAATCTGACACCGATGTTCCTGGCCATTTGATTTTTGTATTTCTTTTGCTTTTCAACAACGTATATACCCCCAATACCGATAGACGTGGAATCTATTTCAATACTCGGAGAATCGGAACGTCAAGGGCTTCGCGGCCGTTCGGACCTTGAATCCTTGCTCTGAAAAAAAAAATTTCTGTCTCTTTCAGCAAATCCCTGCATGATACATCAGATTTATGAAAACCCTGACGCAAAAGGCGCGTAGAAAATAAGACGGGAGTGGCAAAGCCAGTTAGCGTTCAGCTTTGGTTGTTCCTGCAAATCGACAATCGGGCTGCCCCGGGTTATCTGCACGTGACCTCATCCCAGCGAAGTCACGTTTTCCCGGATGAAAAAAGCCAAAAGAACTTGTTGCGCTCCGCAAACCTTCTCCAGTACCAAATTTCGCCCTCCCAACCCAACCCCCATACACGCAGCGCATCAACTGCTGTCCGATCTTCTCGCAGCGATTCTGACGGCTTCTTCTTTCCGTCACTACAAACAACACCACCCTCACCGATCTCCCCTCGACCTTTCCGACCAAGTCACGGATAGCTTGTCAAGGTACCGCTTGACCGAATCATCCAGGCTTCCTGAACGCCTATTCATCGCGACCCACAGCCACCTGAGCTCGTCGTTACTCCGTTTTCCTCTTCACCCCTTTTAGCTCTTCTAATCTCAATCGTTCACAATGGATCACTCGAGAGATCCCTGTCCCTGGGTTGCCCTCAGCGATTTCGGAGGTGCTTTCTGCATGGGTGTACGTCTCCACTGCTTTCCGGTTATACATCAGCCTCTCGGAATCTCAGGAAACTGACAGAGTGTTGCTCATATAGGCGATCGGTGGTGCAGTCTGGCACGGTGTGAAGGGTTTCAGAAACAGCCCCTACGGCGAGCGACGGATAGGTGCCCTCACAGCCATCAAGGCCCGAGCGCCCGTTCTCGGTGGTAACTTCGGTGTCTGGGGTGGCCTGTTCTCGACATTCGATTGTGCGATCAAGGGGATCCGGAAGAAGGAGGATCCTTACAATGCCAGTATGTTGCTGCTTCCTTCCTGCTTGTGTCATGCGTTGGGAACAAAAGTTGGAGTATGCTTTGGGGATATTCAGTCTAACCTGGTTGTTTCCTTTTTCTAGTCATCGCTGGTTTCTTCACTGGTGGTTCTCTGGCTGTCCGTGGTGGTGTCAAGGCTGCCAGAAACTCTGCTATCATGTGCGCTGTCTTCCTTGCCGTCATTGAAGGTGTCGGTATTGGTTTCCAGAGAATGATGGCCGATAACACAAAACTCGAGGTGAGCACTGTCGATTTTGATTGTGTTGATTGGATCGTAATTGAGGCTGACATTGATGGGGTCGATAGCTTCCTCCTCCTCCATCCGGCGACAAGGCCCTCGCATAAATCCTCTAATGTCTCTGCAGCGCGGCTACAACTCTCTCCTTGCCGTTTGCCCATCCGAATCTATATCTTATATCATTACGTATCTCTCTTCTCAGGTGTTGGGTCTGGATCATTTCATTTTCAAGAGACATGGCATAGAGGTTATTTTTCACTTTTTCACATTGTGCTTCTAGTCCTACTTTTGACTGTCTCTAAGCACTGGATTTGCCGGCGATTATGGATTGCACAGCCTTGAGATCCTTTGTGCTTCTCTATTGCTTTTGACGGCGAAAAGAAGAGCTCTCCACACACATCCTCTGGGTTTTGTCTGGGACATATCCCACTTCTTGTACATTAACATGCAGATAACCCGGTCTAATGCGACTTTTCAGTACAGACATCTGATTCTCTGATTTTTTGTTCGCGTTGATGACGTGGGAAGGAATTGCAATGAAGGAGGCGAATTGATCTTCACAAGGGGGCAAAGGCTACGGCCTGCGGCTGCCGATACGATGATACGACAGACTGCACTGATGACACCGCTCATCTGTCATCATTGCGATGGTGGGCTGGATCAATTCTGCTAACAGGCAATAGATAATTTACTAGGTAATAAGCAGCAACTGGATAATGCAGTGAGTTGGTCTTCAAAAGGATCACATTCATCGAAAGCCCGACTCCATTTTGTTGATTGGTTTTCTCTTCCGAGACACTGGTGGTTTAGTCACAACGCATGCATTAGGTTGTTGACAGCCTGATTCCCGCGGCATAAACCCCCCCCCCCCTCCCCTCCCCTTTACCATCCCATCCAGCATCCCACACCCACAATGTCCGATTCCCGCCCACAGACCTTCCAACCCGCCCTAATCCTCCACGGCGGCGCAGGCAATATCCAGCGCTCAACCCTGCCCTCAGACCTCTACGCGCAATACCATGCCTCCCTCCTCTCCTACCTGCGCTCGACGCGCGACCTCCTCGCCGCCGGCGCCAGCGCGCTCGACGCAGCCGTGCACGCCGTCGCGCTCATGGAAGACGACGAGCTCTTCAACTGCGGCCGCGGGAGCGTCTTCACCTCCGCGGGCACGATCGAGATGGAAGCCTCGGTGATGGTGACGTCCACAAGGAACACGGACGGCGGCGGCGGCGACGATGATGGTTATGGTGGTGACGACGATACTCTCCGCGGCGGCATCAAGCGCGGCGCAGGCGTCGTGGGCCTCAAGAACGTGCGGCACCCCATCCACCTTGCCCGCGAATGTCTCTTACGGGCCGGGTGTGATGCGCGCGGCGACCCCACTGGCGACGGCGGCAATATGCATGCGCAGCTTGCGGCGCCCGGTGCAGAGGATCTGGCGCGGCGCTGGGGGCTGGAGTTTAAGCCGGATGGGTGGTTTTGGACGAAGAGGCGGTGGGAGGAGCATCGGCGGGGGCTAACGGGGGAGAAAGAAGGCAGGGAGGGGGAGGGGGAGGGGGAGGGGCTTGTTTCTGTCCTGCCGAGCCAGGGGACCGTGGGCTGCGTTTGTCTGGATCGGTGGGGGGATCTGGCTGTTGCGACGAGTACGGGCGGGCTCACGAATAAGCTGCCGGGGAGGATTGGGGATACGCCGACGCTCGGGGCTGGGTTTTGGGCAGAAGCGTGGGACGAGCGGCCGGGTATGGATGGGATGGTGTATCGGCCGATGGAGGAGGATGCGGTGCAGCGGCATGGTGGGCCGAGAACGGCGGGCGCTCTGCTGCGCGCGGCGCTGGCCGAGTGTGTTCCGCCGTTCTGGAGCAGCAGGTCCGTATCCCCGTATACACCGTTGTCCAACCTCGAGGCTCCACCGGGGCAACCGCGCGGACCGCAGGGCCGGGGATTTGCTGCCCCCGCGCGGAGACGAGCCGCGGCATTGTCGGGCACGGGGAACGGCGACTCCTTCCTCCGTGTTGCTGCGGCCCGCACGGCGTGTGCGATGCTCCGCTTCTCGCAGTCTTCTCCCGGTTCCCTGGCGGAAGCTGTCGCCGCTGTTGCTGGGCCGGGTGGTGAGCTTCAGCGTTCTGCGGGCAGGCGATGGGGCAAGACCGGGGAGGGCGAGGGCGGTATGATCGGGATTGAAGCGGAAACAGTGGTCGAAGCCAATGATCCTGGCTCGTATGGAGATAAGAAGCAGGGGCTAAGTCGTGGTAAGGTTGTGTTTGATTTTAATTGCGGGGGCATGTGGCGGGCATGGATAGAACAAGATGCGAGCGGCAGGGAGCTTGAGAGAGTCATGGTTTTCAAGGAAGAGTATCAATAGCCGTATGTCTTCTAGCGCGAGGGTATTAAAATTCATTTGGCCGCGGGCACCTTATTTTTAATATATATATATATACATCGCTCAAGAGAACGGCCGAACTATACAAGCGGGCACGTGGTACTCCATACAGAGAGTACCAAGGAGCCAAAGCTATAACAACCCAGACCATTTTTTACCACCCTTCCAGCGGCGTGAATTTTGCAACTACCCCATCCTTAGGAGCAACCGTGGCTGACAGCCGAACCTCAAGTTTCGCCTCCGGGTCCTTCAGCTCCATCTCGAACCGTCCCACCGTGGCAGCGACAAGACAAGCCAGCTCAGCTTTCGCAAACCCCTGTCCAATACAGCTCCGTGACCCGTGTAAGAAAGTCAGGAACGAATAGTTGCTACTCGCACCGCCGGTGTTAGCTCGGCCGGGCCCCAGCCACCGCTCCACGTTGAACTGGTCTGCATCCGGGCCCCACAGTTCCTTGCTGTGGTTGACAACCTCGGGCGAGATGAGGATTCGCGTGCCCTGGGGGATGGGATATCCGACCAGCGAGGTATCGCGGGCGGTTTCACGCATTGTCCCCGGGACAGACGGGTGGAAACGGAAAACCTCGTTGCAGAAGGCGTTGAGGTACGGGAGGGAGTCGAGTGTGGCCGCGGAGAGAGGCTCGGGGTTCTCGGCGGAGATGGCGGGGAGATTGGAGCGGACTTCCTCGCGGAGGCGCGTCTGCACGTCCCGGTGCTTGCAGAGGGCATAGATGGACCACTGGAGTGCGGTGGATGTGGTCTCGTGGCCGGCGGCGAGGAAGGTCATCATCTGGTCTACCAGCTCCTCCTCGGTGAACGCGCCGCTTTCCAGCGCCACGGAGACAATGTCGATCCCGGATCCTGGGGCAGATTGGCCGTCCTTCATTTTGGATTCCTTTTCGCGGATCACCTGGCGGGCTACGTCCCGGATAAACTGGGAGCTCTCACGGAACTCGCGGTTCCGCTTCAGGGGCAGGCTCTGTATGACTTGTAAATTCGCTAGCAAAATACCGACAACGAAGATGATGCGCATCCCGACGGACGGTTCGCTGAGCAGTCGCTCATAATGCTTGGTGAGCTCGTTCTGGGAATTGCGAAGGGACCCAAAATCGTGGTCCATTCCGGCGACGCCAATGATATCCAGAGTAGCCCTGCTTGCCCATTCGCTGACGCGGATGACATTGTCCTCGGTGTCTGCTCGGCGGCGAAGATCACTCTCGATCAACTTGACCATCTCAATGCTCTTGGACCAGAACACCGGGTAGAGGTCCTTGATATGGCGATAGGAGAACGCCGGCATCAGGTTCTTTCGTTGTTTCTGTTCGAAAGATTGGCCCATGAGCTGCCCCGTACACAACAGATTGAGATGAAAGTCCTGCTCACCTTATGCTTCTCCCCTTCCACAAGAAGCACGCCGTGTTTTCCCGTGACGCGCGAAAGGCTGAGTCTAACCATCTCAGGTTTGGGGAAATCGTATACCTTCTGGACAAGAAGTTCACCCAGGGCTTTGGGGCTCGTCAGTAGTATACGTTCCTTATTGCCTACGATATAATAACGAATTAAACCGGTGTTTGGCACAGTACGGGCCCATTCAATCATTTCTTCGAAAGGGGTCCTGATAAGATATGAACTGGTATTTCCTGTGAACCAGTGTCGAGTCTGCACATCATGATATCAGTTTACGGGGGGGGGCATGGCATTCAACGTACAGCAAAGGAGCTTACCGGAGGCGACGGAATATTCTTCATTGGGGTAAAGAAGCTAGGATACAGGATGAGACTATAAACAACCCTGATTGTAGTTATCACAATGGACAGAAGAATGAACGTGGCAATCGATGAGCCCCAGATTGTATACTGAGGCCTCAAATATACACCGGCCGCAGTGGCGAGGTAGACTGCCGGCCAGGGAATCATGGTCACCATGATGTAGGCTGCTTCAAGGGCTAGCGCAAATCATCTTCTGGAGATGGAGTCGATGGAGTTCCTGGGTTGATGTTAAGCTGATGAGCAAGAGAAATAATGCATCTGCCTTCACTATTCACTACAAGATTACTCAGCCACACTTGTGCTTTAGTTCGTGTATAAGCTTAGGTGATATGTCGTTGAGATGCTGTCCTTTATGCTTGGACACAGACGGGGCAGAATAATCCTCGCTGCATTTTCCATGATGATCTGCTGGAGTCGTCGTTATGAACCAGAACAGACTCAGGAATTGGTTTGCTGGTTGTCTGGAGCGGAGCACGTGATGCTATCACCAAAGTCAAACAAATGCATTGCCTTACTTGCTGTCCCTTTTGAAAGAGCAAAACCAAACCAGCGGTAATCGATATATTTATTAGATGAGAGATCACATCGGATGGATACGCACCAAGCATCACCCTGAATTGATCATCCCGCAAATGACAGCCTCCGGGCTCCCCGGAGCAAAAAGCCATGTCCCACCGCAGCTAACTCTGCTTCAGAGACTGCGCCTGTTCACCAGATCTCTCCTCACCCTTCCCCGACTCCTCTTCTGCATCGCCCGGGATCTCCTGCTCCAACGGGACCCCGCGCCCTTCCGCATAATCTGCATGAGAAACACCGCCCGATTATCCACAAGTCTCTCCTTGGACCAGGCCCGCGCACGCCTGCGCCCAACAGGATGCACCATCCTCAATCTCTGCAAAGCCAACGATCTCCAGCACGAGGCCGTGGAAATCGACGCAGGCGCTGACTACCCCCCCGCAGCCCTGCACTTTATCGACTGCGCCCCTTCCACGCCGGGCAACGTGCTGCTCTATCTCCACGGCGGCGGGTACATCTACCCCCTGAACGCGGGGCATTTCAAGTTCGCGCGCCTCGCGGCGCAGCGCGCAGCGGCGAAATGCATGCTGCTGGAGTATACGCTCGCGCCGGCGCTCGCGTACCCGGGCCAGCTGGCGCAGGCCGCTGCTGCGCTGCGGTACCTGCTGGAGCGCCATGATGCGGCGCAGATCACGCTCGCGGGCGACTCGGCGGGCGGGAATCTGGTGCTGGCGGTCTTGGCGCATATGCGTCGGCCGCATCCGCTTGTGCGGCCTGTTTTTGAGGAGGAGGAGGAGCGGCGGCGGCTTCGCGCTGCTCTTTGTATCAGCCCGCGCTGTGCGAATGAGTGTTCCGCTGCGAGCTACGGCTACAATGCCGCGAAGGATATTGTCAGCGCGGCGTCGATGGTGGTGTTTAATTCGAATTGGAGGCCTGTCAAGGAGGAGGTCTGGGCGACTCCGCTGGCCGGGGGGAAGGAGTTTTGGCAGGATGTGTATGCGAAGAAGATTCTGGTCCTCGCGGGGACGGATGAGGTGTATGTGGACGACATTCAGCAGTTTGCTGGTTTGCTGGGTTCTTCGAGCCAGGTGGACTCGAAGCTTGTGATGTGTACCGGGGAGATTCATACACAGGCGATCCTCGACATCGCAGCGAATGACTGGGACGGGACTATGCTCAGGGTTGCTTTGAATTGGCTCCAGAATCTGGGGGAGACTCCATGAACATCTCTTCGAGTGGATATTGAAGGGGTGTACCAGGGGGAGAGCTGATCGGTTATTTTCTAGCTGGCGTTGGGCAGGAGTCACGGATTCGAAAGCGATCCGGATTGGAGGATGGTTGTCAATTCATTCTTTTGTATTCCGTCACACATGAAAATGCTTAAATAGTTATATGATATAAAACACAGATACCCCGAAAAAATGTTCTGGACTCCCAGTATATCGTCCATCATTACTCATCCCCGCACACAATTTACAGCTTCTCGCCGTTGGCCTGCTTCATCTGGCCATACTTCTTCAGACGGATAGCAGAGACACCGATGAAGCCGGTGGTCTCGGTAGGAGCGAAATCACCGATCTCGTCCATGCTGGACTCGGACATGTCGTACAGCTTCTCGGTGTCGGACGAACGGCCGAGGATGGAGACGCTGCCCTTGTAGGCGCGGCAACGGACCTGTCCGTTGACGGTCTTCTGGGAAGCAGTGATGGAGGACTCAAGGAACTCACGCTCGGGCGAGAAGTAGAGACCGTTGTAGAGGAGCTGGGAGCAACGGTTAGCGTGGATCGCATAGCAAGCTCGTCATCGAAGAAACTGACCTTGGAGTAGTTGTAGGTGACGAACTGGTCACGCAGGGCACGGACTTCACGGTCCAGAACCAGACCTTCCAGGTCACTATAGTCGCCTGTTAGAAACCAAGCATCAAGCCGAGTGTTTCGAATGGACTCACATGTGAGCAGTACGCAGGCAGGTAAGACCGGGGGTCTCGTAGCAGCCACGGGACTTGATACCGATGAAACGGTTCTCAACAATGTCGATACGGCCAACACCGTTGCGACGAGCGATAGCGTTGGCAGTCAGGAACAGGTCAACGGCGTCGGTGGCAACCTTCTTCTGGCCACCCTCGGTGTACTCGAGCTTGACGGGGATACCCTTCTCGAAGTGAACGGTGAAGTCCTCGGGCTGATCGGGGGCGGTGAGAGGGTCCTGGGTGAGCTTCCACATGTCGGCGGGAGGAGTGACATCGGGGTCCTCGAGAATGCCGGCCTCGTAGGAGCAGTGGGCCAGGTTCTCGTCCATGCTCCAGGGCTTGGACTTGGTGGAGGTCACGGGAATGTTCTTCTCGGCAGCGTAGGCGAGCAGATCGTTCCGGCCCGCGAAGCGGTTGTAGAAAGCGGGATCACGCCAGGGGGCAATGACCTTGATATCGGGCTGCAGAGCATAGAAGGCGAGCTCGAAACGGACCTGATCGTTACCCTTGCCGGTGCAGCCGTGGGAAACAGCGAAGCAGCCTTCGCGCTGTAGAAATGGGGTGTCAATTTCCGAGCTGTGTGGGTTGGTGGAGTAGTGGTTTAGCACAACCAACCTTGGCGACCTCGATCTGGGCACGAGCAATGACGGGACGAGCGAGGGAGGTTCCTTGGAAATCCGGTTAGTCTCTTGTAAAACTCTTCAGTCGTTGGGCCGATGGTGTGTATAGCATACCGAGAAGATAGACGTTCTCGTAGATCGCATTGCAGGCAATGGCGGGGAAGCAGAGCTCCTCAATGAACTCCCCTGTATCCGATATTAGATTCCGATGATCCTAGCTTAGCAGAAAAAAAAAATGGAAGTTGCATACGGCGGAGGTCAACAATCTCGCACTTGACGGCACCGAGCTTCAAGGCCTTCTCCCGGATAGCATCGAAGTCCTCTAGAAGAAACGGTCAGAGGTCGGTCCAAACCGCCATTCGTAAATGTGTCATCGATGAATTACCTTCCTGGCCGACATCGGCAGCTATGGAATTGAGGTCAGTTGTCAGTCTTCAACACGATGGAAGAGACATGAAAGGACTTACTGAACGCGACAACCTCATAACCCTCATCAATGAGCCACTTCACTGAAAATTAACAGTTAGCATCGGGGGGAAGCGGGAACTGCTGAGGAAGTGTGGGGCAATTTACAGATGACACTGGTGTCAAGACCACCACTGAAGGCGACGCAAACCTTTCCCTTAGACATGATGAGGGGAGAGGGGGGAATATGTAGCTATTAAGGTAACGGGGGGAATTAAAGATGGAAGACAAAAGACACTAAAGAAAGAGAGGAAGAAAAAAGGAAGAGGAAGAAGAGGAAGAAGAGGAAGAAAGAAGAAGAAGTTAGCGCTGGACGATGGGGGGGGGAAGAATGATTTGAGTCATTCCAATATTATTACACAGTACAAGTTTTGGCGGGGAGGGCCATTGCCTGTTGCGGACTAGCGGGACTGGGTAACGCCGACTTCGCTTAAGCCGATAAGATAACAGTGAGCAATCATTTTTTTTTGTTTTTTTCTTTTTTGTTTTCTTGCCTGGATTATTTGCGAAGTCGTTGGGAGTTTTCTTTTGTTCTCGGAGTCTCTGAATCTCTGATAGTGATGACGGCGGTTCGTTATATGAATAGAACCCGATGACGTGGTGGCAGCGGACAAGGAATCGTTCTACCTCGGATTGAACGTCTGACTGATGCTACGATAAGCATATGCCGAACTCCGCCGATATAACTCCTGGTGAGTGTTGACTTTCAACATCACAGACTTGAGACTTACACAGGCCTATTCTTATTATTCCCTGCAAGCATCACGCCAGATGTTTGTCTTGGAAGAAGGGAAACTTAAAAAGAATGGATCGGAATCAGCGCTAGGAATATACGATTGAATTCGAGGCTTATGCACGCTTGATAATCCAAATCCACCATCGTCCGCCATCCTCCAGCGTCATTCTCGCAAGGATGAGAGAGACATGGAGACCACGGATGTTCGGCCGACCAACAAATGGGGGACGAGACGTGGAAACGGCTTGCATCTGTCAGAATCTATCGAGCCTTCATCAGAAATTTGTCATTTCTGTCATCATCAATGGACTGGAGATCTTTGCTTCGTCTTCATCAGAGACACAAGGTATATAAAGGCTCCTCCTGCAACCCCCCCCCCCAAAGAGTCGTTACATCATCATCAACCTGCAATCCTCACAGCATTCTCGATTACTTGCTCAATTGATATAAAATAAAACAATTCCATCTCCTTGGAAGGATCTTAATTTCGGCTCTCTCGTCAAGCAAGATCAACAATCATGTCGCGTCCCGAAGTGTCTGATATCGAGAATAAGCCTGTGGTTGACCTTCCTTACTTCACTCCCGCTCAGGAACCGGCTGCTGGCACCGCAGCCGATCCGCAGTCCGATGGAGCAGCGATTCCGAAGTTGTTCCAGCCGCTATCAGTGCGCGGTCTGACCTTCCACAATCGCATTGGGGTGAGCATGATTCCCTCCTCCTTGTTTTCCCTTCCAACGGGGTCTTTGCGCGCCAGCTCCCGAGGGTACTGCTAACACGGAAGGCTGCTGAATAGTTATCGCCGCTATGCCAATACTCCGCCGAGGATGGACACATGACCCCGTGGCACATGGCTCACCTTGGAGGAATCGCCCAGCGCGGACCAGGATTCATGCTGGTCGAGGCTACATCCGTCGTCCCCGAAGGCCGCATCACCCCGCAAGATTTGGGTCTGTGGAAGGACTCCCAGATTGAACCTCTGCGCCGTGTGATCGAGTTTGTGCACAGCCAGAACCAGCTCATTGGTGTGCAGCTGGCGCACGCGGGCCGCAAGGCCAGCACCGTCGCGCCATGGCTCTCCGCCGGCGATACCTCGTCCGAGAAGATGGGCGGCTGGCCCGATCGCGTCAAGGGTCCCACGAACGAGCCCTTCAACGATCGATTCCCCGTCCCACAGCAGATGACCAAGCAGGATATCGAAGACCTCAAGGTCGCGTGGGTGGCGGCCGTCAAACGCGCGGTGAAAGCCGGAGCCGACTTCATCGAGATTCACAATGGACACGGCTACCTGCTGATGTCCTTCCTCTCCCCCGCCGTCAACACCCGCACCGATGAATACGGCGGCAGCTTCGAGAACCGCATCCGGCTGAGCATGGAGATCGCCCAGCTCACCCGGGACAACGTACCCGAGAACATGCCCATCTTCCTGCGGGTTTCCGCGACCGATTGGCTGGAGGAGTCACAGCCCAACCAGCCCAGCTGGCAAGTCCAGGACACCGTCCGGTTCGCCACGGCGTTAGCGGACAGCGGCGCCGTGGACGTGATCGATGTGAGCAGCGGAGGTACCCATGCGGCACAGCATATCCACGCGAGGCCGGCCTTCCAAGCCCCCTTTGCCATTGCCGTCAAGAAGGCCGTGGGCGACAAGCTGGCGGTCGCGACGGTGGGCATGATCGACAATGCGCATCTGGCCAACTCCTTGTTGGAAGAGGATGGACTCGATCTGGTCCTCATCGGCCGTGGCTTCCTGAAGAATCCGGGATTGGTGTGGGCCTTTGCCGAACAGCTGAATCTCGAAATCTCCATGGCCAACCAGATTCGCTGGGGCTTCTCCCGTCGCGGTGGTGGACGATATCTCCCCAAGAAACAGGACAAGGCGTAGACTTTGCGGGATGGACATATAGATTGTTTGGAGGGGGGGGGGGGGGGGGGGCGATATTGAGCATTTGTATTGAATTGGCGCTGTATATCTAATGATAATCAACGTTTGTTAAAAAAAAATATAGAATGACTTTCCACAGATCCAACAAACCATGTTAGGATGCGATGGTTGACAAGACTAGTATATATATACACACACCTGGACTACAGCGGGAATCTGCTAATATGCGCTCATAACAACATCTAAAAACCAAAAAAAAAGACCAGTCATAGCTGTAGAACCTCCCACAAGTCACTAGTATCATAATTGATGGCGCGTCGCCGACAACCGCCCGCTTTCCATCTCTATGCAACACCACCCCAAGTATCATCATCAGCAAACCGTCTCACCCAAAACCAAAGGGAAAAAAAAAAAAAAACATCAAAAAACACTCAACTCAACTCACCTTCCCACGCCTCCAGCGCGGCGTTCTCCGCATCCCACCCCCACAGAAACTCCTGCGTCTCCCGATCCGCCCACTTATCCGGATTCGCGGCGCCGTCCATCGAGGCGCGGAACTGCTCGTCGCGCGCGCGCTGCTCCGCCCCGTCGGGCAGATGCAGCGTGATGCGGTTGGCGGTGCCGGACTGCTGCACCGTCTCGGCGCGGTGCTTGCGGGATTTCTCGTAGGCGTGCAGCGCGCGCGGGATCTCGCTGCGCGAGGAGATGAGGGAGAGGAGGACGCCGAGGGTGGCGGCGTCTTCGACGGCTTGGGCGGCGCCTTGACCGACGTAGGGGCTGAGGTGGGGGAAAAAAAAAGGGGGGGTTGTGTTAGTTGGGGGGTTGGGAGGG